GAGATTAAAAATCTTTGAAATCTTCGAGAATAAGAAAGTTTCTCTGATAAAGCCACAAACTTTCCAATCGAAGAGTTCCGAATGGCGGCCCGTTCTTCTTCTTCCAGAGCATTCATAATCGCCCTAATGCCACTAAAATGACCATACAAAGTGACCCTTATCCCCACCGGTTTCATCTCTACCGGCAAACATTCTCTCTGGCAATTCTGGTTTTTCACCCATCTGAGTTCAGCAACAATTTTACTCAGCCGCATGCAAATCTGGAAATCCCTTCCACTACTATGAAATCTCAGACACTTACTTTCACCTTGAATTTGCTATTTCCTTCGTCGCCGGCTGCAAACTCACTTATATATCACTATTCATCGAAAACGTCTACCACTATAAGTTTCTCTGAGGAGAACACACTGAAAGCTATCTTTCTCTACAATCGAAAAGACACGACCTTTAATTGCCTAATTTTTCATTTTCATATTTTACATAAAATATAGATATAACACACATTTATATATGTGTGTATGTATCCACTGGAATTTAAAATAAATTTGTGTTAGATCTCAAACTGATACAATGCAACTATAATATCACCTACTACGCTACGCGGGAACATTGTAGAGGCATAATTAGAATACGAAAATCTCGTACAGTTGTGTTGTCATTTACCCAGTTACCCAATGATCTAGTACTGATGCAAATACCTTTTTTGTATAAAAAATTCAATTTTTATCTATTGTAAAACGAATGTCAAAGTTTTGGAACGTTTTTTTTTTTAGTTTATGAATGTCGAAGAGAGAATGTCTGGAAAGCTCCTCTTGAAAAAGTCAATGTCAGATATATTCTTGTTGTACCATGTATTTTTTTTTAGTTATATCAAACTACTAGTTATAGTATATCTTTACAGATGTACCAAGTAATACATAATTGTACTATATTTTTACCGTTGTACCAAATACCAAATTTGTACCATGGTACAACAGTTGTACCAAATACTACTATTGAAGTATACCAGACAATAGAAATGTAAAACAGAAAGGAGTAGACACAAATTGAAATATCTCAAACATTTGTCGAATCGAAAAGGCAATTGGCATGTATAATTATTTTTGTTTTTTTTGTTATTAACCAAATTTACCCATGTCAAAACAGGGAATCTCTGTTTCAATCTACGTAATCCAACAAACTGGACGGTTTTCTTAGACCAAACCAAGCCAAAATTATCCAAAAACCGTATCGAACCGAACTGATTTTTGAAAGAAAAATTTCAGTTGTAATTTTGAGCAACGGGTTTGAATCGTTTCTCAAAAACCAAACAAAACAGAGAAGCTTCACCAATTTCTTTACTCTCTTCTTCCTCCTCTCATCTGTCTTCAAGCTTCATCAGTCTGAATATCCTAAGCTCGTCAAGTTGAATCATCAACCAACACTTCAAGCTTTCTCCTTTTCTCAGATTCTTGTGTATCTTCTTATGATGATCCCGTAAAGTACAGGAGCATCGAGTACACTGCCAAATACAAAACTCATATGTATTTGGCAGGAGGATTTTGCATCGAAATTGGGCTTATGAAACGTTATTGTGTCCGCTCAACAACTTTTACGACTTTACACCAGCTCCGACAAACGGCGACGGCGACGGTACCGGCGAGATTTCGTATTGATGCTCGGATTATCAAAACTGGGTTCGACACAGATACGTGTCGTTCCAATTTTATCGTCGAGGAGCTTCTCCGGAAAGGTCAAGTTTTTGCTGCACGCAAGTTGTTCGATGAAATGCCCCAGAAGAACACTGTGTCCACTAATACGATGATTTCCGGTTACGTCAAGTCTGGTGATATTTCCAGCGCGCGAGAGCTGTTTGACGCAATGGTTGATAGAACTGTTGTGACTTGGACTATCTTGATGGGTTGGTACGCCAGGAACAACCAGTTCGATGAATCTTTCAAGCTTTTCCGTGAGATGTGCAGGTCTTGTACTCTTCCTGATCATGTGACCTTCGCTACGCTTTTACCAGGCTGCAATGACGAGGTTCCCGAGAATGCGGTGTCTCAAGTTCATGCATTTGCAGTGAAGTTAGGCTTTGATAGGAACCCTTTTCTCACTGTTTGTAATGTTTTGGTTAAGTCTTACTGTGAGATAGGGAGACGTGATTCGGCGTGTGTGGTGTTTGAGCAGATTCAAGAGAAGGACTCTGTCACGTTCAACACGCTTATTACAGGGTACGAGAAGGATGGTTTGTACATGGAGGCGATTCATCTCTTTGTCGAAATGCAGCAGTCGGGTCACAAGCCTTCGGATTTCACATTTTCAGGGGTTCTCAAGGCAGTTGTTGGGCTACATGATTTTGTTCTTGGTCAGCAACTCCATTGTCTGGCAGTTACTACCGGCTTTTCCAGGGATGTGTCTGTTGGGAATCAAATTCTTGATTTCTACTCCAAACATGATCGGGTTCTTGAAACTAGGAATCTTTTTAATGAAATGCCTGAGTTGGATTTTGTTTCTTACAATGTGGTCATCTCAAGCTATTCACAGGCTGAGCAATACGAGGAATCCTTGAAATTGTTCAGAGAAATGCAGTGCATGGGGTTTGATCGGAGAAACCTCCCTTTTGCGACAGTGCTGAGCATCGCAGCTAACTTTTCATCCTTGCAGATGGGTCGACAAGTGCACTGCCAGGCAATCGTTGCAATGGCTGATTCGGTTCCTCATGTTGGGAATTCTTTAGTAGATATGTACGCAAAGTGCGAAATGTTTGAGGAAGCTGAGTTGATATTCAAGAGGTTATCACAACAGAGCACTGTTTCATGGACTGCCTTGATCTCAGGTTATGTTCAGAAAGGTCTTCATGAAGCTGGGCTTAAGCTGTTCACCAAGATGCGAGGAGCAAATTTACGAGCAGACCAATCAACTTTTGCTACTGTATTGAGAGCTTCCGCTAGTTTCGCTTCTTTGTTGCTGGGGAAACAACTCCACGCATTCATAATCAGATCAGGGAACTCGGAAAACGTGTTCTCCGGATGTGGACTGGTTGATATGTACGCCAAGTCTGGCTCTATCAAAGATGCAGTTCAAGTATTCGAAGAGATGCCTGATAGAAATGCAGTTTGTTGGAATGCTTTGATTTCAGCATATGCTGATAATGGAGATGGAGAAGCAGCCATTGGTGCATTTACAAATATGATTCACTCAGGTCTCCAGCCAGATCCAGTCAGCGTCTTGGGCGTCTTGACTGCATGTAGTCACTGTGGATTTGTTGAACAAGGAACAGAATATTTCCAGGCAATGTCTCGGATCTACGGGATGACTCCAAAGAGAAAACACTATGCGTGCATGCTGGATTTGCTTGTTAGAAACGGAAGATTCGCAGAAGCAGAGAAGCTGATGGGTGAAATGCCCTTTGAGCCAGATGAAATCATGTGGTCGTCAGTGTTGAATGCATGTCGGATTCACAAGAATCAAGGTCTTGCTGAGAGAGCAGCAGATCAGCTCTTTGGTATGGAGAAGCTAAGGGATGCTGCTGCGTATAAAAGCATGTCCAATATCTATGCAGCGGCTGGGGAATGGGAGAGTGTTAGTCATGTAATGAAAGCGATGCGCGAACGTGGCATCAAGAAGGTTCCAGCTTATAGCTGGGTTGAAGTAAACCTTAAGATTCATGTGTTCTCATCGAATGACAAGACACACCCGAAAGGAGATGAGATCGTGAGAAAGATCAATGAATTGACAGCTGAGATTGAAAGAGAAGGATACAAGCCTGACACGAGTTGGGTAGCACAAGACATAGATGAGCAGATGAAGATTGAGTCGCTTAAGTTCCACAGTGAACGTTTAGCTGTTGCATTTGCTCTTATCAGTACACCAGAAGGGTGTCCGATCGTTGTGATGAAGAACTTGAGGGCCTGCAGGGATTGCCACGCTGCAATAAAACTAATATCGAAGATTGTAAAGAGGGAGATAACTATAAGGGACTCAAGAAGATTCCATCACTTTAGGGATGGAATCTGTTCTTGTGGGGATTACTGGTGATTCACATTAGAAAAAGCTCTAGAGTAGGTTCTGCTCCAAAAGGTTCATTCCATCATTTCACACTCGATTTTTTTCTTTGTGTGAGATATGTGGTTGAAATGGGTGGCTTTTTGTAGCTGTTTTGTCCTGAAGATTATCTATATTATATATACTATATACAGAATTCACATTATTTTCTATCGCGTATCCTAAGTACGCAAAATCTATCAAGATGTTTGGTTATAGTTGTCATTTTACCAGAAAGGTGACTGGAATGCCAGTTTAAATGAATCCAAAGTATGATTTGGTGCGAGTTGAGAAGGCTTGTTGATGAAAAAATCTTTGGTTTACCTCTAATCACTATAGTATGACTGCTTTTCCTGTTTCATCCCAAAGACATTGTGTCATTATATTCCAATCTGCGGGCATAATTAGGTTTTATTGTTAATCAAAGTTCTGCTTCCGTGCAGTTTATATTCTTCTCTTTTTTTTGGGGTAGATTACCTGTTTCCATTATCAGATGCTGGATTCTATCTGGTGAAGCCACCATTTCTATTTTTCTTTGTCGTAAAATGTTCTTAGCGTAAGTATGGATGACACTTTTTGTTGAGTCATGGATAGCTGATATAGCTTTGTGAGTTTGGCCGATCTTTTTTCCGGAATCCTTGCTTCACTTTGCTCCTGGAACTTGGATATTGACTGTCCAATTTACATGTCCGTTGGTAAAGAACATTCTTCTTCTAGACTCTGAAGGAAAGCGTGTGGCTGTCAAGTATACTTGGATGACTGGTAAACTAATGCTGCAGAGTTAAGTTTTGACAAATATGTTTTCCTGAAGACCTCAAAAACCAATCACTCGCACACAGGTTATTCATCTATACAATTTCTTTCATGGGATGTATATTGGGTTTCCTGACTTTGTATTTACATACTTATCTGTTTCAAATCTGTTATAGAACTAGGATCTCATCTTTCTCTGCCTTGATGAAATGCAGAGCACAGAAGCTAGTGGTTCATTAATTCTCTGAACAGGTAATGTTACTTTTGACTATCACATCTTCCTTTTGGATCAGTTTAGTTCAATCTAGCTCGGTTATATTTGCTCACTACATAAAAGGAAATTTGGTTTGGTTTTTAATTTTAAAATGTCGGTTCGGGTCTTATGTTCAATTTGGTTAGTTGGTTAAATCCGTTCAATTTGGCTTCTTAACAGATTTTCCATTTAATTTAGTTTTCCTATTTCTTTTTAAAATTTGTAATCGTCGCTATATAAGGAGAGACCTTTTCCTCTAGTTGTAATTCATTCAATTCTTAGCTCTCTCGCAAACCCTAATTGCTTTGCTAAACTTTCCTGAAATCTTCTCTAAAGTCTCAACTCTCAAGGTATATGTTTCTCCAATTTCTTTTGTTTTGCGTCCTGATTTC